GAAGTTATTTGGCGCATGGCCAACGGTGGGTGGCACCAGAAATTGATGTTGAGCGGAAGCTGTGGTAGGCGCCGGGAATGGAGGTGGCCTCACCAACGACGGGGGAGTGTAGTATTAGCCTAGAACCAGGTGTTGTTGACACTCTTGTAGCTACGGACCCGGCAATAGTGGTGACTGACCCCAAGAGGAAGTGAGTTGATGATGCTACTCAAATGGATTGCGAAGTGACAGTGGCAAAAAACGGATCGACGGCGGGTGTTGTAGTGCAAGCCTGCTAGGAGACACGAGCATCTTAAGTTGGAATTGTCAGGGGCTTGGCAACCCTACGGCAATTCGAGTCCTGGCGGAACTTATCTGCACAAAGAGGCCACAAGTGGTTTTTTTAATTTTGACTTTTGCTGACAGAGTGAGAATGGAGGTAGTTCGCGCACAGTTGGGGTCGCAAATATGCTCTATGTTGATGTTGTTGGCCACAGTGGGGGATTGCCAATGTTATGGTCAAGCATAATGCAACTTCATGTGACAACGTACTTTAGCAATCATATAGATACAACAATCTCATTGGATGTACGTAGATGCACCCACTTGGCGTTTTAGGGGTTACTATGGCTTCCCGGAGAGACATAGGCGGAGGGAGGCCTGGCGAATGTTGCGTCGACTTGCAGGGGAGAGTTTACTGCCATGGGTAATAATGGGTGACTAAAACGACCTAATGCAACAGGCTGATAAAAGGGGTCGTGCTCCGCAACCACCTTGGCTGATAAATGGTTTTCGAGATGCCGTGGCTGACTACGGGTTACGGGAAATGCCCTTTGATGGAGTCCAGTTAACTTGGTCACGCTCACGCGGTTTACCAAACATGGTAGAAGAGAAGTTGGACAAAATTTTTGTCACTCCAACATGGCAGGAGTTATTCGAGGGAGCAACAGCCACCTCATTGGTATGTCCTTACTCTGATCATCTTCCCCTTTTGCTGACTCATGTTGCTGTAGCAAATGCTATCAAGCGCCGGCCCTTGTTGTTCGACAATATGTGGCTCAGGGAAGAGCGGTGTCGGGAAATTGTTACTAGATACTGGGAAGAAGCATCAGGCAAGGATGTCTTAACTAAGCTGCAGTGGTGTGGGTGTGATATATGGTGATGGGGAAGGAATCACAACAAGGACTTTCTGTGGCGTATCGAGAGTTGCAAGGCCACCATGGGTGCTTTGTGGGAACGACTTGATGCAGAAGGGCTCATGAGGTATGCCAGAACTGAGAATGAATTGTTGAGGCTTTTGGAGCAATAACATCTTTTTGGAAGCAACGTGTTAAAGAACACTGGTATAAGGGAGGGGACTTGAATAGCAAATTTTTCCATAACTCAGTGAAAACCAGGAGACTGAGGAACAAGGTTAAGAGGGTAAAGGATGACACAGGAAACTGGGTTGAGGGAGATGAAACCATCGGTCAAGCTATGCTAAATTATTTTGAAAACTTGTTTAAAACAGACAATGGTGACATGCAGGAGATTATTCAGAATATTACAACTCGGGTTTCTGCTGTGGATAATGCTAAAATGCTAAGGCCGGTAAGTGTAGAGGATGTCCGCAAGGCAGTGTTCCAAATGCATCCGGATAAGTCGCTAGGGCCAGATGGCTTAGGGCCGGGGTTTTTTCAGTATTACTGGGATATTGTTGGCGCGGATGTCACGATGTTCTGTCGAGGGTTTATTGATATTGCCCAATTACCTGAGAAGGCGAGTGACACCTTCATTATGTTGATACCGAAAAAAGAAGTCCAGAGTCGATGACGGATTTGAGACCTATTACACTATGCAATGTGGTGTACAAAATCGCCGCGAAAGTGTGCGCGAACCGTATGAAACCATTACTAGATACTCATTTCGGGGTCGCAGAGTGCGTTTGTGCCCGGGTGCCTAATAACGGATAACGTTATGCTAGAATATGAGGTTCATCAATATTTAAAATGGAAAACTCAGGGAAAGGAAGGGGTTGCCGCGTTGAAGGTAGACATGAGTAAGGTGTACGATCGGGTACAATGGAATTTCCTGGAGGCGGTTTTGGTTAAAATGGGCTTTGCCAGACGATGGGTAGATGTGCTTCTAGAATCCGTAAGTGCAGTGCGGTACCACATTCTGCATGAGCAGCGTGAACTAGGCCCGATAATCCCCGATCGTGGTTTGAGACAAGGAGACCTGCTATCACCGTAATTATTTTTGTTTGTTGTGGAGGACCTTAGTGTCATGATTGATAAACAAATAAGCATGGGCAGGTTGCACGGGGCGCGTGTTGCAAGAGGGGCACCCGCGATTTCTGTTCGCGGACGACTATTTTTTTGTTCTTGCGTGCTAATGCCCAGGAAAGTGAACAAATGTGGTACATACATGATACATACTCTATAGCATCTGGTCAGAGAATTAACTATGACAAATCTGCGATTTGCTTCAGTGCCAACGTATCACAGCCAGTTAGGAACGAGGTTGTATGGATTCTCAGGGTGACGGAGGGCAATACGGTTGGCAAGTATTTGGGCCTCCCTTCGCTTGTGGGAAGAAGGAAGAAGGAGATTTTGGGATATTTGAAGGAATGGATCTTATGAGGGTGGAGTTAGGGTCTTGGTTTGAGTACCCTATCAAACTATATATCTAGAGTAGACAGAAATTAGAAAAAACAAATTCAAAACAAACAAATTTCTAGCATAGAAATAAGAAACAACGAATACAAACAAATTTGTAAACCTAAATTTCTTATCCTAAAAATTTAAAATCAAAACGTAATCCCCATTGCTTTAAAATCCAGAAGAATGTATACACACATAGCAGCAAAGCAAATTGAGTTTGAGAGAAAAACCTGGAATCCAAACGCCCAAATAGCAATCATTATTGTGTGGATCATATTTTATATAATGTAAAATAATGTACATTTAATACAAAAATAATGTACATTATTCAGGAGATGTACATTATTTTTGTATTGAGTGTACGTTATATAATATAATGTACATATAGTACAAAAATAATGTATATTTAGTATATTAAAAATGTACTTTTTGTTATGGTCCACATAACATTGTGTGGACCATGGTCTACATAATAATTTGCACCCCAAGAGGAGCGAGGCGGCGAGCAAGGAAGGAGGAGAACCGTTTGAGTTGGGCTTGCGTTTTTAGAACAGAGCACAAGGAACAAATACTGAAATCTTCCTTCTATCTTATAAAGCAACAACTTCGCATAATTCATTTTCCCGCCCACAAAAAACGACTTTGTTTGTTTTGGGCGCTAGAGTATTTGGCCTAATTAAATGCTTATATTATTTACTTTTTGTATCTTTTCATAATCCAATGTGTATTATGGAAAAATGTATTGAATGCATGTATGTCCTATGCACGTATTATAGAGTTTCAACCGATTTAATTGGTTACTAAAAATCAGAAGTACCAAATTTTGTTCCAGACTATTATTTTTGCCATTTAACATTTCATACTATTATTTTTAGTCATTTTCATGACTTTTCCTATATTTAATAAGGGCATTTTTGTTTTTTCATATTTTTCTTTTGTTGTTTTTTTTGTTTCAACCGGTTTAATTGATTTAAGACATTAGGTAACCTCTGATTTTTAGTAACCAATTAAACCGGTTGAAACTCTATAATACGTGCATAGGACATACATGCATTCAATACATTTTTCCATAATACACATTGGATTATGAAAAGATCCAAATATAATAATTTAATTAGGCCATCTCCTCCGCGCTCGCCGCCTCTCTCCTCTTTGGGTGTAAATTATTGTGTAGACCATGGTTCACAAAATGTTATGTGGACCATAATAAAAAATACATTTTTAATATACTAAATGTATATTATTTTTGTACTATATATATGTACATTATACAATATAACGTACACTCAATACAAAAATAATGTACATTCCCTGAATATAATATATATTATTTTTGTACTGAATGTATATTATTTTACATTATACAAAATATGATCCACACAATAATGATTGCTTTTTCCGCGTTTGGATTCCAGGTTTTTCTCTCAAACTCAATTTGCTTTGATGCTGTGTGCGTATACATTCTTCTGGATTTTAAAGCAATGTGGATTACGTTTTGATTTTAAATTTTTGGGATAAGAAATTTAGGTTTACAAATTTGTTTGTATTCGTTGTTTCTTATGTTTATATGCTAGAAATTTGTTTGTTTTGAATTTGTTTTTTCTTATTTCTGTCTACTCTAGATATATAGTTTGATACGGTACTCAAGCCAAGACCCTAACTCCACCATTTATTTGTTTTATTCATATATTTATTTTAAATTATAATAATTATTCCATGTAGATTAGGTTTCACATCACTTCTATAATAAAGAATAATTTTCAATAGTTCGGGTTATCGAGTTATCGGGCTAACCCTTTTAATTTCAGGCTAGCCTAATCGGGTCATCGGGCTTATCGGTTTCGAGCTCATCGGGCTAATGTTTTTTATCAGGCTAGCCCGTTCAGACCATAGCCCTGTCGGTTTTGATTTTATCGGGTCGACCCATCAGGTTCAGACTAAATTGACATCCCTATATGTATGTATGTATATATGCACTTGCATATATTGAAAAAGAAGTAATATATAAATTGAATAGAGTACATTTTCATTTTGATACTTTTACAGAAAAATGCACCATGCATTACCTAATTATTTGAGAAACAAATTAGCAAGTTGTTTGCATATATATTATATTTAGAAAAAAATATCATTTTTAGTCTCTCGATTATAATATATGTATCAATTTAGTCTTTGACTATTAAAAAATAACTCCCCTAATCGGCTACGCTGTATGTCTCTAGCCAAACGAAGAGTGTTGGACTTTGTCTATTTGTGTCTGAGTGGAGGGAATAGCCTTATTCTAAATTTGTGTCTGAGGAGAGAGATCGAGAATTTGCCTTCAAAAAAATAGTAAGCTCCAAAAGTTCTATATAAGCTAACCATGGCACATTGCGAAAATTATAGAGCATATCTTTCATAGAAGGAAACAAAAAGATTTGAGTCCAATAGTAAAAAATACAACAAAATTTTTAAAAGAAAATAATTTTTGCTTTTCTAAGACACGACGAAAATTCAAAACCTATTGCAAACTATGGGTATGAACAATGCCAACCTTCTCAAGTGTTAAAAATAGAGTGCAAGAAAGTAAATAAGTAATGGCATGACAAAAAATATTTCTTTCCTCAAGCCTCAGAACGGAGAATTTTGTGTGTGAGCCAAACTAAGCCGTTACTTCCAAAACATCAAGACAATGTTGTCACCGTTCGGCTTCATTCCATCAACCTTCAAAAAATAATTTGGTACAAAATTGCATTAGGGAATGCAAAACAATACAAGCAATCAAAGAACTTCACTGAATAAGGTAGCTATGGAAATGAATATTATTGGATAAGCATATCTCAAGTTGCCACAAGATTGGGGACACACAGAGCAACTAAATGGAATGCAGAGATTTTCATAGAAACTATTTCCAAAATAGAAACTTGTTTGTTCAATGGAAATATACTCACTAGACAATAATAATTTTCGTTTTTGTGGAAACAACAGGAAGATCCAAAAGCTCCAGCATAATTCCAGTAGTCTTTTTTGCAGGTAATTTTTTACACCAACAATGAGAACCCTTTCAAGTGTTGAAAAATTAGAAAGTAGCTTCTTAATGAAAAGCATTTCGAAATGTGACCCTGTAAATGAGATAAACTTCAAAGCACGGAGCATCTTATTTGTTTGAGCCACAACATGAAGTTCCAACAAGGCGTCCACACAATCAGTAGGCATTGAATTGAGCTATAGACAAGCATCAAATACAGAGAAAAAAAAACTCGATCAAATCAACATTTACACAAAATTTTATCCAGAAATGCGAAACAATATGAAAATGAACAAATGAATTATTTGTCCATGAATATGAAGATTACCCAAAATAAATCGATATCGAGTTTGCGTAACTTAGGGCATAATCACAGCAAACAAACAAACACAGAAGATGATCTGTCACTTTTGGTATAGAATTGTCGGGAACATGAAAGCTTAAGGTATTCCACATTTAGTTGAAATTCCATCCTAGTGAATTCTTTAAAAAGTCCCTTGAAAATCAAATAGAAAGAAAGTGGAATCAATTCCTTTAAAAAAAATAATAAATAAACACTAGTCAGATAAAGAAAAGTTATGGCTAAATACCTGGACAAAACCATCCAAATCAAGAGTAGAAATAGATTTCAAGTCCAAGTTAACCGGGAGAAATTTGGCCAACATGTTATCTGGGCTAGATTTGATTGTTAAACTACACAGCTTTGGAGCAGTAATATCAAAATAAAACGAGTTTTTACCGTATGACAAATTCTCAAGTGCAAGAACGTCAATAGCACAATATAGACAATTTATAGGGACAAAGTCAACCCATTCAAAACAAAGTGAAACAACATTAGGTAATATGCAAGGGAAATTGATTGGATCAACAATGACACAACAAAGATGCAATCTCTTATGTAACACCCCGTGTTACGGCCTTCAATCTCGGATTAATTATTAAATTAATCCCGTTAATAATAATTAAATATGATTTAATTCGGTTAGGTTTCCTTTGATTAATTAATAAAGGTCCACCATGAACCGTGGACCCTTGCCTAAATTAGAGTCCTAAGCCTATTAGGAATAAAGAAAGTAAACCCTTTACTATTCAGATTCTAATTAGGAATCCTAGAACTAGTTATCTATTAGGAATAAAGGAAGTAGGCCTTTTACTATTCAGACTACGATTAGGATTCCCTTTAATTAATTAATATGGTCCACTATGGGCCATGGACCCTTATCCCTAAACCCAATCCTTAGTTCCAAAAGGAATAGAATTAGCAAGCCTATAATATTAGTTCCTAACCAGGACTCCTAAATATATAAATAGGGGACTTAAGAGGCACCTAGAACCCCCCACAAGAATAACGCCCCACCACCCCCAAAAGAGCTCCAAGAATCCCCTTAGGAGAAATCAAGAAAGCAAGGAAGCTTAAAGAAAGATCCTTCATAGCCAAGGAATTAATTAAGGCTAAGAGGTAACCCATGTCTCAACAAAACCTATTTTCATAGCTATGATTTCCCCTTAGGGTTTCCCCCGTATGATTGTGAATGGCGAATTACTATGATTATTATTGATGTTGATTTAATGATTCCATGGGGAATCTTGATAATCTTGATATTGGGAGTTTCTTGATAATTGTGATGTTCTTGATGATTAATTGGGATTCTTGATGATTATGTGTTGTTCTTGATGATTATGATGTTCTTGATGATTAATTGGTATCCTTGATGATTACGTGTTGTTCCTACCGAATCTTGCAATTAGAAGACGAATCGTATTCTTGTTGATATAAAAGTGATTAGAACCCTAGGTAGTACCGTATGCTTTGATTCTTGGATTATCGGGTGGGAAATCGCATGTTTGGGTGTTGATTATGTTTAGAAAAGCATGATAGGCCATGTGCCGTTCGTTTCCCGTATTTGATCCGTTAATTGTCTACTTGTTGTTGTTAATTGCGTTGTAAAGTGTCTAAGCATGGTTTCGGGTTCCACAACGGTTCCTGGGGCGAAAAGTGATGAAAAGAGTCAGTGGGGGGTAGGTGGGGGTAGGGGACCCGCCACCTACCCGCGGCATTCTCGGGCAGCTCCGGCAGCGGGTAGCCGGCGGGCGGGCAGCTGCCCGCCGGGCACCCGCTGCCCGGAACAGTGGCAGCCGGCGGGTGGATCCCCACCCACCGGCTACCCGCTGGAAAGTACCCTACCTCGGGCTCCCGGTTTCCCCGTTTGATGTTTCCCCGATTCCCGTGGTGTCCCAACGGACCCCGTTGTCGTGCCTATGTCTAGTTTGATGTTTCGGGTACCGTTCGTAGGTTTATGAGTCTGTTATATCGCATGCTAGATGAATTGGTATCCCGTTGACCTAGGTGAAGGAAGTATGAACCCCTTAGGACTATTCTTAGTATGTGATGGATCACGCATAGGTTTGTTATACGCTTTATCCCCCTTCCCGATGTGTAACGTGGGTTGCATGTGCTTGCTATGTGTTATGTGTGTGTGCTACCCCAATTCGGTTGCGATCGGATTGGTTATCCTGAGCTGCGGTTCAGAAGTTGGCTGTGGTCAGATTGGTATTCCTGGCCGCGGTCAGATGACATTCTCTTGGGCTGCGGTCCACCGTTTGGTTGCGATCAAACGTTTCTATACGAGCTGCGGTTCGTCCTTTATCCTGGCTGCGGTCAGATGACACTCTCTTGGGCTGCGGTCCACTGTTTGGTTGCGATCAAACATTATGATGAGCTGCGGTTCATCGGTCGGTTGCGATCGACCTCCCCGTGTTGCGATACGGGGCATGGTGCTGCGGGGCTGTGTCAGAGCTATATGCGCTGACCCTCATGTATGGGCATGCGATTGGTCCTGTGGCGCCAACAAAGTGTGTTATGTGTTGTGACATGGACGAGTTGTGATTATGAGTGTCTTGGGGGATGTGACTATGGGATTTATATTGGGGATTGTTCATGTTGGGTTACGATAATTGATTATGCTTTGCATTATCTGCCTTATCTGTTGTGAACTGCATATGCTCGTTATAACTGTTGCTTGCGTCTGGCCTTATCTGTCGAGTCATTCCCGGTTTTTAAAGCTAGAGTTCGTAGGATATATCTTCATGCTCAAAATGGTTTTCGTATATCTATATATATCTCTATATGTATTGTATTTCAACGTGTTGGAGTGGGTTACCAGCATCTCTCGCTGAACAGATATATTTGGCTTTCAGGCACAGAAGATTAAGTCACTGGAGCGCGCTAGAACTTGGAGTGTAGAAGTAGATAGTTTCCCTTTCGGCCTGCGTGCCACGTTTATGAAATCGCACTTTGAGGATATTAGTTAGTTAGCCTGTGCACTTAGGTTCTCTAGCCCAGTGTGCGGCATAGCACCCCGAACGCTTGTATTATATCTTGGGATTTAATAAGATTCTACCTTTATTATAAGTTTTAAAAAGTCTTGAAAATCTGGGGTGTTACATCTTAAGTGTTAAACAAGAATATATGCAGCCCGGCAACCGGTATGCTTTTTCCACAAAACCAATGTAGATTTCTTCAACACCTTTTTGTGTGACTAAAAGTAACCATTCGTCAATGTCATAAGACAGATACCTAATTGCAAGTTTCCCAACATTATAAAAACAAAGAACAAATTTCCGAATTGTTCCTTTGTGCAGCAGGAGAACTTTGTTGATCACGTATAAACTTGCAGCTGATTTCCTGACATAGTTGCTAGCACGGTGATGTTTATTATTAATAAAACAAAAGAACCCATGATCAAAATTGAGTTGGGTAAGACTAAGCCAAACATCTCTCCAAATGGAAGATAACACAGCAGTTTTAGCAGCATCTTCAATTGGCAAAAATTTCAAAATGTGGTCAAGTATATCCGCGGGAAGTTGACTGATTCTATCTCTCTCAGGTTCCATAATCCAATACCCTAAACCTATGCAAAATTAACTAACAAATATGAATCAAAATTTAAAACATATTCCAAAATGGGCTAACTTGGCCTTAATAATGAAATTGCAAGACTTAAACACAGACAGGTTTATAGGAATATGCCAAACATCGTACATGGACTATGCAGAGTAGAAATAAGAAACGACAAAACGAAATCAAACAAATTTCTAGCATTCAAACTTTGTAAACCTAAATTTTTTATCACAAAATTTCAAAATAAAAACTTAATCCACATCGCTTTAAAATCCAGAAGAATGTATACACAGATACATAGATGCATACATACATACATACATACATACGGGCACACACAGCAGCAAAGCAAATTGGGTTTGAGAGAAAAACCTGGAATCCAAACGCCCAAAGAGTAGAGAGGCGGGAGCAGCGGAGGAGGAGAACCGTTTGAGTTGGGCTTGCGTTTTTTAGAACAGAGCACTACTGAAATATTCCTTCTATCTTCCTTCTATCTTATAAAGCAACAACTTCGCATAATTCATTTTCCCGCCCAAAAAAATTACTTCGTTTGTTTTGGGCGCTAGAGTATTTGGCCTAATTAAATGCGAAAAGGGTCAAATGCACCCTTAAACATTTCGCTAAAGTTCAATTAACCCCATAAACTTTTGAAAAGGTCAATTGAACACATGAACACACAATTTTGAGTCACTTGACCCCAATAACCGATAATTTTTACCTGATGAACCGATAATTGACACCGTGGCGACACATAAGCGTTGGAGTGGGTACTTGGCTGCCACATAAGCATAAAAATATTAAATTTAAAAAAATTAAATTAATAAAAAAAAGAATTTAGGCTGATTTTAAATTCTTTTTTTATTAATTTAATTTTTTTTATAAAGCAACAATATAACAAAGTCATCATCAGAGAATCTGTTTACAAAAACACAGTGGTCTGAAGAAGTCTTCTTGTACCCATGCTTACTCATAACGGAAGTAAACTTTTTATACCACTGCCTCGGAGCTTGCTTCAATCCATACAAACTCTTCTTTAACCTGGAAACATAATCCTCTTTCCCTTTGACTTCGAATCCCTCAGGTTTCTCCACATATATCTCCTCATCTAAATCACCATGGAGAAAAGCTGTCTTTACATCCATCTGCTCAATTTCTAAATCCAAACGAGCTGCTAGACCCAACACAACTCTAATGGATGAAAATTTCACAACAGGAGAGAAAATTTCATCAAAATCAATACCTTTCTTCTAGCCAAAACCTTTCACCACCAGTCGAGCTTTGAATCGTGGAACTGAACTGCCCTCTTCATGTTTCAATCTGAAGACCCACCTGTTCTTCAAAGCTTTCCTGTTCTTTGGTGCCCTTACCAACTCAAAGGTATCATTTGCATATAGGGAATTTATCTCATCTTGCATAGCCTCAAGCCATTGTCTCTTTTGCTCACTCTCCATAGCTTCTTCATAGAACTCAGGTTCTCCCCCATCAGTTAATAGCACATACTGACTGGAAGAGTAACGAGTAGATGGTCTCCGTTCCCTGTTAGACCTTCTAGGAGGATCAACTGGAACCTGAGAAGGAACTTCTTGTTCCTGGTGCACAACATCATCAACATGACCATCCACATCAGCTGTATCATCCTGATTGTCTGGTACAAGATCACCGTTCCGACCATTCTCTTGAACCTCATCAACATCATGTGTATCTTCGCTGGAAACTGGCTCACAGTCAACCAAACTTCCGCTGTCTTGATATTCTGGCTATCTCACTTTGTCAACATCTTCAATGGTTTGATCTTCAAAGAACACTACATCACGGCTTCTCACAAGCTTCTTCTCAACTGGATCATACAGCTTGTAGCCAAATTCATCAAGACCATAACCAATGAAAATGCACTGTCTAGTCTTCAAGTCCAACTTAGATCTTTCATCTCTTGGGACATGCACAAATGCCTTACAACCGAAGACTCTGAGGTGATCATAAGAAACTTCATTTCCACACCAAACCTTATCAGGAACTTCATTATTCAAAGCAATAACGGGAGATAAGTTGATAACATGAACAGCTGTGGAAACTGCCTCTGCCCAAAAAGAACTAGGCAACTTTGCGTCATCAAGCATACATCTGACTCTCTCCATAATTGTCCGATTCATCCTCTCTGCTAAGCCATTTAATTGAGGGGTTTTATGAGGAGTTTTCTGATGTCTAATACCGTGCATTCTGCAATACTCACCAAATGGGCCAAGATAACATGTTTTTTTTTAATAAGTACTTTAAAGTATATCAAGACAGGATTATATTGAAATTGTTCATGAATATAATCTGTTAGTGTTTATGTTCAAAAACCCCACATTATAATTGGCAATATTATTATGGGTTTCTAAGATAGGTTTAGGTTTTTGTCCGGGTGGTTTTACAGATGACTGATCAATCAGAGACAACAACAGAAGGACTGACACTGAAGATCTGATTTAGGAAAGCTGTTTCCTTAAGAGACTCACGCGGTACTTCACAGAAGATCAGACCACTATGGAAACACATCACTTTTGTGCTTCAAAGTGTAAACCCAGAGTTTCCTAGAATAATCATCAACGAAGGTCACAAAGTAAGATGCACCTCCAAGTGATCTAACCTTCATTGGTCCACACACATCAGAATGTATCAACTCAAGTGGCTCCGGCTTCTTCGAAGGAGAATTGCTCATAAAATAAACTCTTTTCTGTTTCCCTGCCAGGCAATGAACACATCTGTCCAATCTAGCTTCCTTTACTCCTGAAAGTTTCTTCTTCTTGGCAAGGTAATCAATCCCTTTCACACTCATGTGGCCAAGTCGTTTGTGCCACAATTCTGATGCACATTCTTTTGCTGCCACATTCACTGAATCACCAGAAATAGAGCTTTGCAAAGAGTACAAGTTAGAAGACTTGTTACCTCGTGCAATAACCAGCGAGCCTTTAGTGATTTTCCAATGTCCATCACCAAAGAAACAACAGAAACCATCATCATCGAGTTTTCCTGTAGAAATGAGATTCAGTCTGATACCCGGTGCATGCTTTACATTTTTAAGTTCCAGCTTTGTGCCATTGCTGGTCTCAAGAGAAACTGTACCGGTACCAATCACCTTCACCTGACCATCATCACCCATTCTTAGCTCTCCAAAGTCACCTGGAATATATGAAGTAAAGAATTCCTTCCTTGGTGTAACATGGTAAGATGCGCCTGAATCTACAATCCAAGTTGTCTCATGGCATGCAACGTTGACGGCGTTCTCATCACAAGCAAGAAGCAAATCTGCTCTAACTATTGCAACCTGGTTCTCTGTGTGATCATCTTTCTTTTCTTGCTTTTGTTCCCTTTTCAACTTGAAGCAATTTTTCTTGATGTGACCCTTCTTGCCACAATGATAACATTCAACATCCTTATGCCAAGACCTTGACTTACTTCTGCTTTTATCTCTACCCTTCTGACCCCTTTGTTTGTTTCTCCCCCTACCATTTGTAACCAAAATATCTGATTGAGAAGTGGAGGTGTCTTGAGATCTTCTTCTTGACTCTTCATTCAAGATACCACTCTTGACATACTCCATGGTCACAACACCGTTGGGAGCAGAATTGGTCAAAGAAACCCGAAGTGTTTCCCAAGAATCAGGTAGAGTGTTAAGCAACCAGAGACCAAGTACCTCATCCTCATATTTGATGCCCATGCTAGACAACCGATCAAGAACACCCTGAAAATCATTGACATGATCATTCATCAATGTACCTTCCCTGAATCTTAGATTCATCAATTGTTTTAGCAAAAACAATTTGTTATTGCCCGTCTTGGAAGCATACAGGGTCTCAAGTTTATCCCACAGGCTTCTGGCATGTGTCTCGTTGATAATGTGATTCATAACATTATCTTCAACCCATTGGCGAATATAACCACAAACTTGTTGGTGCTCAAAGTCACACTCTTCGTCTGACAAGCTTTCTGGCTTTGTAGTTGCAAACACAGGTAGATGTAATTTCTTCACAAACAGAAGATCATTCATCCTGGCCTTCCAAATGTGATAATTTCTACCATTCAATCGTACCATATTACTCATATTTGTCTCCATGTCAAAGGTACCCAATCAACAACCAGGGCTCTGATACCACTTTGTTGGGAAAATCCCACATCCTGCGACAATGAAAAATCACAGAACCGACAGGAGCACAAACACAAGATGATACACAATAGCCAAAAAATAAATATCAAACACAAGAACACACGATTTACGTGGAAAACCCCAAATCGGGGAAAAAACCAAGGGACCACCACCAACTAATAATCCACTATAATAAATCTTGGGTACAAAGTTTCAGGCTACGACACGAGCCAAACATCCACAAATCATCAAATACAATAACTCTAGGCCAAAGACTTCTATTATATTCCACAGGCCTAAACAGAATACCAACTCGTACTTAAAATATTCAACCACCACAAGCAAGATGAAAAGAACACAAATAGTACAAGAATACCTAAAAGATGTCTGGAACAAATAAGCTGACCTCCAAAATATTTGATGAAGAAAATACCTAAGAAGCTGACAAAGGTTTTACTGCGTACACTGCCCACTGCCGTACGAAAGATACGAAGATGATAAAAAAGGATTTTAGTTTCCTCCCATTCACCTGCCTCTTCTCCAATCTGCCTAAGCATATATATATATAATGAAGAATGAACATAAAAAGGAAAAAGTTTCCTTTTCACAACTTTGGTAAACAAACTGCCGCACCATTCCATAATTCATCCATATATTCCTAATTAAATATTATTATATTATATAAATATAATAATAATAATAATTAGGGCTCAATATGACAGGAAGTCCAACAAAATATACTGGATACAAATTGGCTTGGTCCAAACATGAGCTATTTACCACATAGGAGGGAAGCCCAACCCAACAGGAATAACATACCTAGGAATGAGCTATTACCTTTGCAAGGGGAATAACCATTCCTAGGGGGGCCTTGGTATGAGCTATTTCCCATGCCCTTGGGAATATCCTTTATATCACAAATACCAAAAATACGATTCGCACATTATATAATATTTATATTTATTTAATAAATATAATGTATTATATAATTGTATATATTTAATTAATTATAATTTTTATTCATCAATCAATCTGTATGTATGTATATATATATATATATATATATATATATATATATATATATATATATATATATGTATATATATAATTGCCATTTTGGAAAAAGAAAAGTATTTTTTCAAAACACCCTTGATAGTTTATTATATATATATATATATATATATATATATATATATGTATGTATATATAAAAATTAACTGTATAAGACTCCTTAATTATGGAATCTTGGCTCCTAAATTAAGTAGTCTGCCCATCTACATGTCTAGCAAATGAGCATTGCAAGCTTGCCTAGCGAATGAGCATTGCAAGCTTGCCTAGCGGATGAGCATTGCAATTGAAATTATG